ATATATATATATACTGGAATGAAAATTAAAATGTGGTTACAAATATTTTGTTCAACCATATATATAGAGATAAGTAATATAATATCATTTTTATAATCTTTTTTATTTTTGTAATCTTTCTTATTTAAAAAAAATCCTTTTCAAATACAGAATTATAGACATTTAATTATAATTAGAAATACCTCTTTACTTTTGTAAAATCGACTAAATTAAGAAGATTATGTGTTAAAAAAAATTTTAAAAAAATTATTCTTATAGTCATTCTTCATTTGTCATTCCTACCTATTTCCAATAATATTATCTGAAAAGTGCTAAATCTAAAAAATAGAAATAGAATTGTAAGTAAAAAAATATAATTTCAAATAGTTTTAAAAGAATTATTATAATGTTAATAAACTTATTATTTTAATTTGTGGTTAAATTATAGAGTAAATAAAATAAAATTTAATGAAAAAGTAAAAATGTAAAAAATAAAAAATAAAATAAAAAAAATATTCTAATATATATAAAAAATATCTTTTAATAATTACATTAATCTTTATATTTAGTAGATTATTATATTTTTATTATTAAAAATTAATATTTTTATCAAATTTTTAAAACTAAAATTGCGGATTTTAAAATTTAAAAATTAATTATAAGTCTAATTAAATTAATATATTTTTATTATTTAATTTTAATTTTTTTAATTTTTAATAAAGTCACAAAATATATCACCCACATGAAAGTACAATGCCATCGGTGCACCACCGTGCACCCAATTGTAAAAGTAACTTTCGTCGTCACCTAAAAATAAAAAGTCACGGAAATCGAAAAATCATCATCATCCCAACCACCATCAATCCGTTAATTCACGATTCAAACCCTAACCCCGCAGTTACAAGTTTCTATCACTGTCACTATTCTCAAGTTTCAATCCATTTCTTCGAATCCATACATTTTCCACTAAAAAAATTAAATTGAATAATCGCAGCAGCATGTTAGGGTTTCGAAAAGCCAATCTCCGGAGGAACTCGAAACCCTAGATTTCACGAATCCATGTCAGCTTGATCTTGCTACTGCCGTCAATGGCGATCATCGGCGACGCGCTTCGTCAGGCCTTCATGCCGAAGCGCGAGTACGAGAGCCTCAGGGAAGAAGACAAAGCGTGGGGCAAGCTTCAAAGACCGGTGACCCTGTTTTTCGTGGCTCTCATATGGCTCGCAATCCTCGTGTCGACCCTTATCAGTTTGAAAATCGTGTTTCCGAGTAGCGATGGGAGAAGAGCATTCTGCGTCTATCGAAAGCTTCAATCCATACAGATAGGTGCCAAAGGGGATTCTGATTCGGATCTGTTTCCCGGTGCTTTCTATCTCACGGACCAGGAGATTGCTGATTATTACTGGCTGGTTGTGTTCATTCCTTCAATGATCGTTTTCGCATTCTCGGTTGTGTATCTCATTGCTGGTAAGGAATTGAATTTCGTTGTTGCTGTTGAATAGGGTTTTCTATGTAATTATTGTAATTTGTAAGAGATATTACATGATGCACAATTTTATTCATTAATAGAGAAACGTGCCTAAATATAGTTTGAGAGACTATACGGTACAATGCATGTCACTTCGATGACCTCTTCTGTCGATTCTAAGTTTTATATTAAAACATGGTTTATACTCATTTGATCCAGGTAGTTTTATGAACTATGCCTTTTATTCTCCGTAGTTAAAAACATTTCATTTTAATTTCTATTTGTTATAGGTCTAAAAAGTAAAATTTATAAAACTGATAGGAACTAAAAAAAAATTAAAATGGTATATTTAGGAACTAAAATAGAATGTTTTTAGTTATAGGAACTTAAAAGTAAAGTTTACCAAACTATAAGGACCAAATGAGTATTTAAATCTTAAAACGTTTATGGCTATAATATAATGATTGAGAGAAGGCTCATTTGAGGTGAAGAATTTTTGGCACTGAAAGAGTTCAGGCCATGTTTGGATTGATGATAGAGAATTGAATGGAATAGATCGAAACATAATAGAGAGTGGAATGGATTGGAATCACACTTGCATCTCTCCCCATCATGCTTACCCTCTTGCTTGCTCCTCATTTGAACCTAATAAAAAGCCCCTATGGATCTCTACCCTTTCTATTTTCTCTGGTCTGTTGTGGTTTAACAGTGTCTTACTAATTATTAGTATCTAGTTACCTGGCTAGGAAGACTCTTTCACTGGAATCTTTCTAAGGGGTCATATTATTATAACAACATGATCTGTGTGCTTATGTTATTTGCAAGATTATGTTATATTTTGCTCTTTAAGTATGTCTTTAGTTATCCATCGTCCTTACCTTATTTAATATTAAATTGCTAGAGCAATTGCTAAAATTATACACGCATTTGTTTTTTTGGATTAAAAGAGACTCTTCAAAAGATTCAAGGAGAAAATTATTGATGTTATGGGGGTGTTAAGGAATGCTGATGAATGGGCTAGCAAGGTAACAGATATCTAATATCATGTTTTCAAAGCTTGCGGTTCTTATGTTTGTTGCCTATGTATGGTCTGTGAAAATTTTGAGAGTAACCAGTGCTCTGCACCACTGACATAGCAATACAGGAAGAAGAAAGCCAAGAAAGAATAAGAACAATGGAAGAGGTGTCACCGGTTATGTTTGGGGCAATTATAGTAAGGCAAAAATGATAATTTTATAATTTTGAAGGTTTGTTCCATCTTGCACCCGAAATTGGACGGAAAAAATAAATTGGAATAAATAATGAAATGCAATAATGTATTAGATCACATTCTATTCCATTTTCATTTATATAAGTCAAACAATGAAATATTTCTCCTATCCATTCCACTCTCTGCCATCAATCTAAACATACCCTTAGGAATGGCACTGGAAATTCTTTTATAGAAAAGCATTGTACTGTAGATATTCCTTTTATCTTTGGTGGAACTATAATTCACAATTGCCGTTGAATCTGAATTCTCTATGGGGTAATCAGGAAATGAAGTTTTTTACATCATGGCTAAAAGGATGTAACTTTGAAATTGAATTAAAAGCATAAGAAACGGAATCAAGATGGTTGATGTCGATAAAAGATTAATAGAGTTGGAAAAAAAAAGTTTTAGCCTACATGGGCTGTGGTGGAAGTTGAAATGTTGAATTACAAAGTAAAAAATATTTAAGATAGTTGAGTGCTTTTGGATTGTGTCCCTGGCTCCCTGCTGTGATATGATTGAGTCACTTGATACTTGATAATTAAAGTCTTAGGCCTACAGTGATATTTAGAAGGGAAATTATTTTGATTTCTTCATTAACTTGTCTAGTTTATGATTTCTGAAATTCAAGGATTATCTATAGGCATCAATGTAGCATATGGGTTATTTTCAATAAGTCAAATATGACTTATGAGCTATGGGAATACGGGACTATTCTCTTGGATAATTTGAAGCCATGCATTTTTGGCATTCTAGAGGAGTATTGGGGAAGTAAATCACTTGGTGCTTTTCCAAAGTTCTTTCTGGCATCTTGTTAATCTGCATGACTTTATTTATTTCTCTGATGATAATCAATATGTGACAGTGTCTACTCTATCTGAGTAGAGTAATGCTACATTCTCAAATCTTGGATTCACAATCCTGCACAATTTTGCAGTTTGCTTCATCTAAGTCCAATGTTTTCCCTTTAAAACTTAAGAAAGCTGCACAATTTCTCATTTGTATACAAGCCCCTAACCTTTCTTTTGGAATTTTGAGATAATGCCACAGATTTAACCATGGGGAATCTTTTCACAGATTTGCTAAATAAGTGATGATTGTCAGCCACATAAATATGTTTTTAAATATATTTAACAAGATGCTGGTATGAGTGGAATTGGGCTCAGAATTTTTAAGTGAGGTCTTTGAGCCTTGTAGATAGAAAAGAGTAGTTAGGTGAAAAGATCCTACTACAGGTGGTCAGCTAAGTTCTCTAACGGATATTAGGCATCAGTAAAGTTGGTGGATATTTTGTATCTATAACATATTGATTAAAATAATAGTTTGGATTGCGGACAAGTTTGATTCTTCAAGTATTTTTTTTTTCAAACTAATTAAGTTTTTTCTGCTTCTAAAATTAAGAAAATTTGGTATATCCATCATTTTTTCTTCTACCTACAAGTTCACAACCTTCAAATTATTATTTTCTATCCAAATATATGTGGAGATTTACGATGGATTTGGGATAAAAGTAATTTTAAAACTTTAAAAATCTGAAATTTAGTAGAAACTTGTTAAAATTTTAAGGATTTTTTATGCGAGGTTACAGTGTGAAGAGGAATTTTATTTTTAAAATTTGGGTGAAATTGATTTTTTGGTTGGTGAATTTTGAGCAGAAGACTATTTAATTGATTCAATTTGTAAAAAAAAAAAAGAGAGTAGAAAATGAGAATTTGAGAGTTTTAGCTTTTGGGTAACAAGAAAATCAACCAGGGGACCAATTTTGCTCAATTTTAAAAGTAGAGGGATTTAATTAGCTTGATAAAAACTGACGTGGAACTAAATCACTTATTATCCAAAATGAAAAGATCAAAATTGCGATTAAACCTAATATTTATTTGTTTTACAAACACGTTGCAAAATGATGTTCTTGTTTCACTGGAATTTCTATTTTTTGTGTTAAAATGACTTGTCCTATGCATTCTGAATGTTTTGTGCCATAATCAGAAAATATCTCTTTGGTTATGCTTGATGTTTTTGTTTTATATAATAACTATTTCGCAGGTATGACTGTTGCTTATTCTGCTCCAACAAGGCATGGATGCTTGAAGGTGGTTGAAAATAATTTTTGTGCTTCAAGACGAGGTATGGATTCTTCCTCTATCAATGATTTTTTCCCCTACTGTGTTTTTTATGGCACAAAATTGATACTTTCAAATTAACCCTACAGGTGGTGTTCGCTGTCTTTCCATCTTGAACCTTATCTTTGCTATCATCTTTGGTCTGCTTGCCTTGTTTCTTGGTTCAAGCCTCTTGACATTGGAGAGCAACTGCTCTAAACCTCTGTTTTGGTGCTATGAAATTGCATCGTGGGGACTGGTTGTACTATTTGTTGGCACTGCCATCTTCTTGAGGAGAAAGGCAGCCACGATTCTTGATGAGGGAAATTTTAGTGGTCGAAATACAGGGCTGGAAATGCTGGAAACGAATCCCCTGGAAGTCACACCAGAGGTGGAAAGGCGTGTTAATGAAGGGTTTAAAGCATGGATGGGTCCATCCCTTCTTTCTTCTGATGAAGAAGATGAACCTGACACCTATGAATATGATGAGGCACCTCATTCAACACTTACTAACTCAAACAGGCAAAGACTTTGAACTCAATAAATTCAGTGTTAAGAACATCCCATCATCCTTTCCAGCCTTCATGCCTTGAAGAATGCTGTGACGGTATGGAAATCAGTTTTGGACAAAAATGGTTTCACATGTATCATATGACAAAAACAAATGTTGATTAAAGGAGTATGGATTTGATGCTATCGTTTGAACTACGATTTCATCTGGTTCAGTAGGACCAAACAAATGTTGATTAAAGGCTCCGAACTACGATTCAACTCGTACTAACTCAAACAAATGTTCAGTAGGTATTCTGTGTGTAGTTTAGTTTGTGAATAATCCTTAATTGTGAATTAGTATAATTAATTCCCATATTTCAAAAGATAAAATGAAAATTATCAAGAAACTACTGAAGCAAATGATATGGGTGATTTAAGCGTAATTTCGTCTATTTAAAGTATGAAAATTAATAATATCAGGTACAAAATTAGTTAACGAAGACCTTCATTTCTATAAATGCTAAATAGTTTTTTTTTTCACGTTAAAATTAATTAAAATATAGCAAATATTTATCTCATGAAAGGTAGATAATTTTAGAAATGAGATGAGAAACTTTTTTATTCATAAAAATGAGATGATCATGATGATATAATATAAGCATTTCTTGTTTATATTTTACTATATGGAATTTAGTTAAAGAAATAAAAATCAGAAGATCAAAAATGTGTAAGTGTAGTGTAACAAATTTTGAACAAGTTGACTGTAAAATTGCAGCTATGATTTTTTTATTTATAATATTGATAGCTTATAAATATTATAAATAAGATTTAATAATTATATTCATTAAAAAAACTAAAAATATAAAATAACAAAATCTAATTTAAAATAAGAGGATTCACTTAATATCTTAAACTAGAAAGAAAATTGTAGGATTTTTTTTAAAATTTAATTAATATAAAATAAAAACTATTTTTTTGATTTAATTGATATCCACACTCTTAATTTTCTACCCTATTGCTTATATTTTTTGACCAGTCGGAAAGGTAAAACCCTATGGCTTATATGAATGCAAGAAGTAAGATATTAAAAAATGTTTCTCATTATTCCCAATGTTGACGGTATAGGTGGGAATTGAGATAAAAGAAGCCCAACACCCTATGGCGGGCCTGAATAACGTTAATATATTTTTATCAACGCTAAAATTTATTATTATTATTTTTTTTTTTGGGTAAAGAGCGTTAACCTACACTACTCGCCTCGGTGCCTCTCTGACAGCGAGTGCGCAAACCCTAACCTAGTTCTCTCTCTCAGTGTCTCTTTCCCCTGTCCCAAGCATGGCGAACCAGGACTTCGAAGAACGGCAGCAACCCGCGCAGGAGCTCGGGTACGACCCGAACTTCGTCCCGGACTCGGTGAAATCCTTCGTGGTCCACCTGTACCGCCACATCCGCGAGAAGAATGTGTACGAGATCCACCAGATGTACGAGAGCTCGTTCCAGACCCTCTCGGAGCGGCTCTTCAAGGACACCCCGTGGCCCTCGGTGGACGCGGTGGCGCACTACGTGGACAACGACCACGTCTTCTGCCTCCTCTACCGCGAGATGTGGTTCCGCCACCTGTACGCCCGCCTCACGCCCACCCTCCGCCAGCGCATCGACTCCTGGGACAACTACTGCAGCCTCTTCCAGGTCGTCCTCCACGGCGTCGTCAACATGCAGCTCCCCAACCAGTGGCTCTGGGACATGGTCGACGAGTTCGTCTACCAGTTCCAGAGCTTCTGCCAGTACCGCGCCAAGATGAAGACCAAGACCGAGCAGGAGATCGCGCTCCTCAGGCAGTTTGACCAGGCCTGGAATGTCTACGGGGTTTTGAATTTTCTCCAGGCGCTCGTGGAGAAGTCCACCATTATTCAGATTCTGGACCAGGAGAAGGAGGGGCTCGAACAGTTCACGGCCACGGATGGGTATGACTATAATGGGGGGAGTAATGTGCTTAAGGTGTTGGGGTATTTCAGCATGGTGGGGTTGCTCAGGGTTCATTGTTTGTTGGGGGATTATCACACTGGTCTCAAGTGCTTGCTTCCTATTGATATTAGTCAACAGGGGGTTTATACTAGTGTTATTGGTAGCCATATTACTACCATTTATCACTATGGTTTCGCCAATCTCATGCTCCGCAGGTAATGCTCCTTTCTTTTGTGTTGTGTGTAATGACGTGAAATTCTTGAATTCATTGCTTCATTGTGTTGTTATTGGTCACTGTTTCGTGTTGATCGTTGGAGGTGAGACTTGTTTGTTTCGGGGTCATTGAACAATGTTGGCTGGCCTTTTATCCCTATGTTCAAGTTGTCATTCGTAATTAAAGATTGTGACTGTGAGTATAGGGTTTGAATGGATAAACTTCTCCGGAAGGACAAAAATATGGGAAGAAAAAATGAATTAAACTTTTCCCAAGTTAATTAGCCCATGCAAGCTTTTTTGTAGAAGCTCTTTCATATTAGCTTCTTCAGAAGCTTTTTTTTTAACTTATCTATAAGCTAATTTTAGCTTCTGGAAAAGCTTTTTTCAATTTTTCTTGGTGGGCAAAAACTCAATCATTCTGGAGTGCTATGCAGTTGTTAGATTTTATCTGATTAGAAGACCAGACCTATAATCCAATCTATCCCCCCATGTGTTATTCTAGATGAAGCCTGTAACAAGTATAGAAAGTTGCAGGTTGTTGGCTTTAAATAATTTTTCATTTTTTATACAAAAAGGCCGTTCAGGGTTTGTGTCTCTATTGAAGAATTTTATTCCACAAGGTGGTGTTTTGTATAATCATTTTCTCATTTATCTCATTACCTGATCTAACCCGTAGCCTTTTTCTACAGATATGTGGAAGCTATACGTGAATTTAACAAAATTCTCTTGTACATCTTTAAGACAAAGCAGTATCATCAGAAATCACCACAGTATGAACAGATACTGAAGAAGAATGAACAAATGTATGCCTTGCTGGCAATTTGCCTTTCACTCTGCCCCCAAAGCAGGCTTGTTGATGAAACTGTGAACTCTCAGTTACGTGAGAAGTATGGTGAAAAGATGGCTAGAATGCAGAGATATGATGATGAGGCATTTGCTATCTATGATGAGCTTTTCTCGTATGCATGCCCCAAGTTCATTACCCCTTCAGCTCCTAGTTTTGAGGAGCCTCTAGTAAATTACAACCAGGTATACCTTTTATTCAATGTAGATCAAGAGAAACATTAGGAATGAGTGTATAACCCCCCAAAACGTTAAAATTTGAAGTTCAAAGTCTTTGTTTTCCTGTTTCTCTTTATCGAATTTGTAAATAATTTTCTCTCCTACAATCTTGTGGCAAAATGTAACCTGGTTAGGAATACCTAAACCCATCCCCTAAAAACTGCATAAATTTAAAGAGAACATGATCTACTAAACGAAAGTCAGTTGAGAAGTTGGTGAACTATGTTGAAGTGAATTATGATATTTTAGAATTCTCGTTCTCAGTTACATTAGTGAGTGATGTTAGATACCTTAATCTTTTTATGTGTGTATTGTCTGTATTTTATTATATATTATTTATTTATTTGGACAGTGAAGGGTTTGAATCTTTGTTGAAACTTTGTATTCGTTTTCATAATGTTGTTCTTAGACCTCTATTTAGTATTTACACCTTGGACCTTTGATGTTTATGGATTGATTAAAGGTTTGCATTGATCTGGCAGAGTAGCTCAACTTGTTAGAAATAATTGTATGGATATTCCTTTTGTTCCCTTACGTCCCCCTTGTGAATAACAAAATACTATTTGTTTATTCAGGATGCCTATAGACTTCAATTGAAATTGTTCCTTTATGAAGCAAAGCAACAACAATTGTTATCAGGTGTTCGGACCTTCCTGAAAGTGTATTCAACAATTTCCCTTGCAAAGCTTGCGAGTTACATGGAAGTGGATGAACCCACCTTAAGGTTGCAAGACATCCAATTATTTTAGCATCTCCCTTGATTTTCAAGTTTTGTTAATAAAATATAATTTTGGGCATGATCTTAGATGTGTTTCCATTTTGTTGCTTGGCAGGACGATCTTGATGACATACAAGCACAAGACACATGCTGTTGACAGTGATGGAAAAATTATCTCCAATGCTGATTTGGATTTCTATGTTGATGATGTAAGCTTGCTCACTATTTTCTTTGAACTAATCCTTTTTTTCATTGAAGTGAATTCTTATCTCAAATGCTGTTTGGGAACGTTAACAGTTTCTCGTTTTCATATTGGCACGAGTGTAGTTTCCAGTTGAAAAACTTGTTTGTTTGGTGATAAAGCGTTTCTTTGCTCAAAATCTTTGTTGAATTAAATATCAAGTCTAATCTCACACCACTAAATAGAGTCAGCAGTAAACCAATGATCATCATCTTTTGATTGATTCCATAGATCTTATATTTCGTGTTTTTACTTCAATGTATATTAAGAATAATATTAGTGTGCAGGGAAGTCGGTGGTGAATGGACTCCCTGACTTGTGCAAATGCTATATAAACGTTGGACAGGAGTTCATATGATTTTCCTAGTGTCAAGCTAGAATTAGTTTTTCCCGAATTAAAGGGCGCAGCAAAATTTGATCGTCTTTTTTCATTTGCTGCAGGAGGTAATTCATGTTATAGAGTCTAAGCCTGCCAAACGTTACGGGGATTACTTTTTGCGTCAGATTGTCAAGGTATGCTTACATCTGCAATGTGGTGCATAATTTTCTTGTTTACTACAATTTCTTTGTGGTGTATCATGTATGACCATTTTGTTTGCAGCTTGAAGGTGTGATCAATGAGATGGACAGTATAAAGCTGGAGTGAGTTGCTGCATGTAAGATGCTAAAAGGACACTTGGTAGTATACCGTTGCTACATGCTTGCCAGGCGGAGTTTTCCCTGAGGAGTGAGTGTGTTGTTTTGAGGCCGAGGATGTAGTTAGCTTTAGTTTCTACATGTAATTCTAAAATTTTCTTTCCTCTACTTTATTTTATTTAACGAAATACTTAACCATTTTATTGTTTGAAAAGAGGGCTTAAAGAAGTTAATAATTCTTCAGGTGTTTTACTCGTTTTGATTCATGATTTAAGCTTAACACACTTAGTTTTCTGGCCACCAGTAACATACTGATATTGTATAGATTATGCAATACTTAAGCTGGCGAAATAAATGACGGGTGAGCAAGATCATAAACCTCATCGTTACTTGTCAAACTTGGGTCTTTCACAACGAACGGTGATAATCATCTATCATTGAAATATTTGGATACGGATAAGGCTGGAATTTCTGCATCGAAGGATTCATTTTCCTATATGCAAATCCCT